TCTCTAATACTATTCGCGTTTCATCCCGAACTTCGCCACAAAAGCCCAACCACTGTTTGCTGCTCATTCGACTGCGGAATAGAAATGGACTACCGAGTGTGAACAAATTCTGCGAGGAAACGACTTGCGACCGTCAAGAGGAATCATTACCCACAAGATTGGTCAAGCTATAGTCGAGATAACTGATTGGACAGATGCAACGGTCCATCGACGCCATATCGAACAAATTCACTTCAACGAAACTCCGACTTCGACTGAAGACCTTGCCGAAGAAACCCAACAAAACCTGCCCTGTGATACGCCGTCAACATCTACTGAAGATCATACGCAACAGCCCCTTATTCAGGGAATGTCTACCCCACTAGCACTCCGACGACCAATCAGGAGAGCAAGCCAATTTGACGAAGCTATTTTGAGGGAGGAGAGTTGTGGTGATCCAGGCCTACACGATGGCGCCTACCCTGGAGCGGCGCGTTACAGTTTCAGGACATTAGCGATCAATCAAGTTTGAATGTTGACGTCAATAGCACGTGCATAGCTTCTGAATACACGTCATTGGCCGATGGTGCCAGCCAATCCAAGACAATGCCGACAGAAGCAAGATTATGCAAGCAGTGCTGCAATCCAATTGGTGGATGCCCAGGTAGCTAATAATCTTCTTTTGTACATATTATTTAATCACCTCTATTTCTTCCAATACACGAACTACTTGCTGCCTGTCCTCTGGCCTTTTCCTCGCATCTCGTTCTTTTGGGACATTGCTTCTGCGATCCAGTCGTGATAGCCGATTATCGATTCGGGTCCTGTGATTCCTATTGCGTGGTTGGTGTACCGAATTCCGTGCGTATCACTGCTACTAATTCTACAATCATTACACTCCTGCACCTACTAAAGTTATCTCGAGTGGCCGTTGGTGGCGGTGAACATCTAACAGGCTGTCCGCTTTCTACTCAGTAATTTAGCTAACCGTCGAGATCACCACTGAGGCTTATTGTGTCTGCCATGCAAACGCAATGGGGCAAAGGCGTCGGCCAACGTGATAAGGTCCTTTTTTATTCGGTCCCAAGTGTCGTGGACATCTGTCACTTACTCCGGCCATTGAAGATGTGACGCGGCCAAGAGGAGACCTTCAGTGTCTAATGCTTTGTAGGAGTGCTAGGGTTCTAGCCTCGGAGCGCGTAGACGACAGACATAACGGAAACGAATAGTCGCGTGATTCTTATTATATTTTCACGATTTCATTCGCACCCTTGGTAAATACCAGGTCCAGGATGTTGGGGGGGGAAGGGGGTTACCTGGTTTCCATCTTGTTGGGTGCTTGATGCGCCATATCAGGACTGAATTGAGCACAATGTCAAGCAACTTCTTTCTGAAGCTGCGTTTTCCGTCGGCTGATCAATATCAGGAGAGTTTATATCGCCCAAAAACCCTGTTGGTGTGTCTCGGTACTCGCCTGAGGAAGTGATCATCTTATCATCCTCCTCTGTGAAGGATCGAGGACTATGCTATGTGCAAACGGCTGCTATTTTACTAAGAGGCTGTTTTAGAAAGCACCCAGTGGATTGCGTGTTCGCTGTCCCCATGTTGGTTATGGCTACTTGTGTTAGGTGTTCCGCTACGAGTATTAGTGAACGGCCGCCGATGCTACCGTCAGTGCGATTACATCGATAAGCCAAAACATCTGATGGGTGTAATCCTGTAGTGTTGAGGTCTGGTTTCAGCCACGTTTCAGTGACTGCTATGCAAGCGGCCATCTCTGCTTCTGCTAGTATATCGGGCCACTTGTTCATTACGCTGCAGGCATTGGTGCAGAGAACATCTAATGTCAGCATCGTGTGTTCCCTTGGCGGTAAAAGACTGCACCCAGGACTTATGGCCGGGTGCCCGTCAACTGCTTTTTATCTCGGTTGTAGAGTCCTTCCTATATGGACTCCCGCGGACTGAGTTTACAGCAGCTGAAGGCTTCGCATTCGGCGTGGCTGTTTCGGTATCGAAATGGTCTAACAAAGATGCCGATTCATTTGTGGAGGAACCCGGTTTTCGAGAATTACGGCTCGGTGAAACCTTTGGAGTGAAACTTTGTCCCCTTATGATCAGTCTCCTGGCGCTGCCTGGTGAAGGTGGTGGTACAGAAGGTACACTCTTCCAGCTATTCGCGTAATCAGGAGCTATGGTGATCTTGCCCTCTGTCAAGAGCTGCGCGTGGCCTGCTGCTGCCAACATAGCATTCCAGTATCTAGGGTTTTAGAATTTAAGACTTCAAGACTATCAGCGAAGCGACAGCCGTTCAGCCACAATGTCTAGCAGATTGGTAATGCAAAATCATCTTTATTGAAACCGTGTTGATCTTCCGCCAACAGGTCGTATTGAGTGAGGTAGCTAGCCATCTTATCCCGGATTAATCTTCCCATGACCTTCAGGATCACAGAGAGTTAGCTGACCGGTCTATAGTTGGTGGGCAGCTCCCTGTGGCCTCCTTTTTGGATGGAGGTCACAGCAGCAACTTTCCAGTTCTGTGGCAAAGTGGCTGCCACCATGGACTGATTGAACAGGCGAGCTAAGGGGGCTTTCAGGATACTCTCTAGAGGCCAAAGCAGTTTCGGGTGGATTTCATCCGGATGCGTCGCTTTGCCCCTGTCCAGACTTCCCAGGGTCTTCACCATATCCTCTGGTAGGAAAATAATTTCTTTCATCAGCGTGGATCCTGCTATCTGGCTAATGGGTCGCAGAACGCCCCCATTCTTCGTGTGTACACTCTGAAAGTGCTCACAAAAGGCGATGACCTTTTGGGAGTGTGTCGCTGCGAGGATGTCGTCCTTCTGTCTGATACAGCCTACTGCTTCCCTTGTAGTCGACTTAGACTGGACGTACCCATAAAAGGCCTTGAGGAGCTCTTTGCTTTATTGGCCAGAGAAAGCTCAAAAGCTCTTTTGGCATCCAAGGGGATGCGTTCGAAAGACTTCCGCTCTTGCAAGTACTGTAGGTGCCTTAGATGCCGAACTGTGGCACAGAGTCGCTGCCACGCGGCCCACTTTCTAACCAGGGCTCTTTTCATTCGAGTGGACCACCAAGATGGGGTGGTCCTTGACCTAACGGGACACAGAGGTGCGAAACTATTGGTGAGAGTCAGCAGTTTATCCTTGATCAAGTCCCACGAGTCTACAATCCCATAGTTTATAATAATATTAATAAGTGTATATTTCACGGAGCCCCGTGAAGCATGCATAGGCATGATCAGATGTTCAACATAATCTTCCGTAGGGGAGAAGCCCAAAAGGACCAGACCATGGTCTGAGTCGCAGCCAGGAGACATTCTGTATTCATACGTCGGTTACGTCAGCGTGATTTCGCTTGAGAGGGGGAAGAGCACAGCCGTACTGGCACCGGATATTCGCATGGTTACTTCTGCCGATCGGTACACCTATAGCAGTGTTCTCGATGTCGTTCCTGTTTTTGGTAAACACAAGATCTATGGTGCTAGGGGAGTTGCCCAGCCGCCACTGAGTGGGATTGGGGACGCACTGACTAAGCTCCAATTCTTGGATCACCCCCCAGTAGCTCATCCCCAAAGCTACCCACTGGCGCATACTCTATCTCCCATTCGATCTCAGGTGCATTGAAATCCCCCAGGACAAGAGCCATTCTTGCCCGAGTTGCTGTGTGCCGGAGAAGATCTATCAGTAACACATTTTCATCGATATCTGCGCTTGGGCTACGATGAATACACAGTACTGCTAATTTTACTCCTGGAAGCTGGATTACGCACCCGGCAGCCTGAATGTTCCCTGTGCACAGGGCCGTCTGAGGAAAATGGTTCGCCACAAGCAGTAGAGCAGCACCACTCCCATCCTATCCCCTGGACGGTAGCAGCAATGATCCTGGAATCCTGGTGGGCAGAAACCTACAATACAAAACTTAGACCTGAGCCAAGTCTCAGTTATGCCAAGGCAGTGCGTTTAGTCAGCCTCAGCCTGGAGCTCGGCTTACTTGTTCATTTGGCTACAGATGTTAGTGTAGTAAACGCTGACAGCCTGCGCCCTTAGATCTCTCATTGCTTTTAAGGGGTTGCACCCGAGAGTTGCTCCGAGTGACCTTCGAGATTCTACCTCGGGTCTAGTGGTGTGGGTCCTCCACCATTTCGTGGTCCACATGTCCGAAAGATCCATCTCTCAGATCAGGCCAGGGTGCTGGAGTCATTTTTCTCGTCGAATTCTGGTGCTTCACTCTCGCTGCGTGAACGGACAGAAGCTTGGTGCCAAACTCTTGCTTGCAACTGGGTAGCGTCATTGTGTTGTGATCGCGAGGGTAGTCCGGCCATATGATCTTCGGTCAACCTCCTCACACTGGCGGAAGCTGCCAGCATCAAGTCCCTGTGCCTTGGGTTATGAAGCTCGACAAGGGTCGGCCTAGGTGGTAAAGCTCTAGGTGCTCGTTGGTCGCCCAGCCACTTCCCTAGTTGCAGTACTAGCTTGATCTGCATCTCTGAGGGGATCTGAGTGAGCCGGATTATGTTCTTACCTGATGTAGTAGCGCTTGCCTGCGGCTACGAGTTACTCGATAAAACGGCTCTGGGATGCCCCTGATAACAACGTTCGGATTTATGCCAAAGGATGCTAGTCCGAGCCTTCAGCCTATGCCGGGAGCACCTTAGGCTGGTTGTTAGTTCGGGTAGCTTCGCAATGGCCACCTCGTGAGCACAGGACTAATAATGGCCACGGTCAATGTAGCGTCCAGATTTCTTCCGGCAGTATGCTCACAAAGTGTGCACCGACCACTGCGAATTGCCTTCTGTACGGCGTCGTTGCCGAAAAAGAAAGGAAAACGCTCGTCTCATTTCAGCTCATTTGCGAACAAGGGACATGCGTCATGAAGGCGTTCCATAGTACATTGAAGATTCTTCTCTGGAAATAGCTCCAGCCATCGCTCATCCAGAGCGAGCTTAAATGCAGTCATGCTCCCTAAATCTACTACTTCTTTTGGAAGCCGGTTCCAACTGTTCACTACTCTGTTGCTGAAGAAGCTGGATCTAACAACCAGGTTGCAAAACTGCTTATGTAATTTGTACCCATTCCCTCTAGTTCCTTGCTGGATAGCCTTCTAGAATATGCCCTCTTTTCTTACTCCCGAGAGTCCCTTCACAGTCTTAAAGGTCTCCAGTAACTCTCCCCTTAGTCTTCTTCTTACTAGCGAGAAGAATTCCAAATCTTTTAATCTGTCTTGGTATGACTTACCTTTTTGACCTTCACTCATTCGGGTGGCTACTCCTTTAACTTGCTCTAAATAGGCTGCGTCCTTTTTGAAGAAGGGTGCCCAAGCCTACACACAGTACTTCAAGTGCAGTCTAGATACGGCTTTTTACCGGGGGAGGAATACGGAAGGTTTGCGACACGGTAGTACTGACTTGAGCCTGAACAGGTCACTTGTCGCCCTTGCCGCAGCCAGTACATACTGGTTCTCCCAGCGGAAATCTGCGGCCATCGATATTCCTAAGTCTCTGCTGGTTCTTACAATCCCTTCGGTGAAATCCCGTTCACCTGGTTGGATTGACAATTGGTCATCAGCACGCGAAGGTAAATTACTTTTCCCTGCATTCTTTGGGAGCTCACAAACTGTTCCCAATCCGTTGCTCTATGCAGGTCATCCTGCAAATGCTGCCGACTGGCTACTCCACAATCTTGACATCATCTGCAAAGAGGAAACATGGCGAACGCAGGATGGAAACCAAGTCGTCTATAAAAATGAGGAACAGTAAGGTACCAAGCACTGAGCCCTGGGTCACTCCACTAGTGAGTATGTCTTCGGCAGATACTTTGTCTCCAATAATCACGTAAAGCGTCCGGTCGGTCGGGAATTCCCTGATCCAGATATATATTTCCCGGCAATCTCCTTGTGTTTAAGCTTATCTATCAGCAATCTGTGGTTGGCGGAAACAAAAGCTTTGCAGAAGTCTAAATAACTGAATTCCACAGTTTTACCCTCATCTAACATCTAGGATACCTCATCTTAGAAACACAGTAAGTTAGAGAAGGATGATCTACCCTTGGTAAACCCATGCTGTTGATCAAAAAGAAGCGAATTTCGGAGTAAATGTTGTGCCATATGCGTCCTCATTATACTTTCTAGGCGCTCGCACAATATACTCGTTAGGACCACCGGCCTGTACTTCTTAATCTGCGATTGTTCTCCTCCCTTGTAAATGGCAATAATTGTAACTGTTTCCTAGTCCCTCGGTAGCTTACCCTGATATAAGCTGGCTTCCTATAACTCCCTTTGCGGTCCCGCTACTATATTGTGACCGGCTTCACGATTGCCGAGTGGATTCCATCGGGCCCTGAAGACTTAATTATGTTCAGCTCAGCTAATATCCGATGAAAGGCTTCCAAAGACACATAAGTATTCTTTATTTCCTTTGTTGGGAGGGGGCAAGATCCAGTAGTGCTAGGTCGCCGCGATCTACTCTGTGCACACTACTGAAGTATGTGCAGAAGGCATCTACATTTTCCTGGTCATCGATAACTGTCCCATGTTTGAAATGTAGACGTCCCATCATCATTTTTTATTAGGGCACTTGGCTTGAGTGCAACTGTAGTAGCGTTTCAGCTCCTTTTTGGCACGACTGGCTAGTTTCACCTCAAAGTCCCTTTCACCATTTCTAATGAGCGAGTTTGCTTCGTTACGATGCCCCGTGTACTGTCTCTCAGCCATCTGGGACCTCAAATTTGGAAAACCTTTCCAGATTAGATTTCTGCGTTCAGTCGCTCTATCTACAGCAGCGTGCTTCTATGGTGGTTTCTTCCTTGAACCTCTGTGTGTTACTGGAGCAAACTTATCTTGGAGGTTCACCAGGTGGTTTCTTATTATATGCCAGCATTCCTCTACGTCAGCGTGCTGCTCCGAACTATACCAACGCAATCGAGCTACCTTAGCTCGGAGTAGATTAACATCCATCCTCCTAAAGTTCTTACCCGTCCTCACACGAGGCCCAGGTAGTTTCAGCAAATTTTCATCTTGATGATTACCTTTGCCGATAGAAGAGAGGTAATCTAGACTTTGTCCTTCTTCCTCCTGCGCTAAGATGATCAGGTTCAGCAGCGACTGTTGCTGGCATTATCGAAACCTTCCCTTCCGCGTGCTGATAAAGGGTCCGGAAATGAATCCATCCGGGGTAGCTTCCGCCTGAATGTCGAGGACAGCTCCTGAGTTCAGTTCAGTTCAGGTCAGGTCAGATCACAAAGGATGGCAAAGGCCTTCGCCAACCGAGAGTTCAGATTCTTACTCCAGGCGGAACCAACGTTCTTTCGGAGCCTCGACTTTTTGTCGACCATTTGAACACAGCTGATTTCTTCTTCCTGGACAGCTCAAGTCAGGTCAGGTCAAGTTGCGCAGGACTATTAGTGGCCACAGCCAATCGAGCGTCCAGAATTCCGCCGATGGTGCGCTCAACAGTTGATCAGTTTCTCCGTCTATCTGCATACAGAGAGAAGGTTAGGTCAGGCTGATTCACAGGACGTGGTCTTGAAGTCTTAAAGTGATTCACGGGTTGGTGGCTGTTGCCCAAATGTCGCGGGTCCTTGAAAGCTATCTGTTTTCTTTTCCTAGAGATTGTTCTAGAGCAGAAAAGGTATTAGTAGAATAGTATTAAGGGTATAGTAATAAGGTTAAGTTTCCCCGCTCGACCCCCTAGTGAGGATGT